GGAGGTAGTACAATTTATTTTTTTTCTTTAAAACTACGCTTTGATATATATATATATACTAGATTTGCTCACGCCGTGCACGCACGGCGGTCTAACACCCCGTGTAAAACTACAGTAAAAATTTGTCATAAGTTGTTGCAGCTTCATATGTTACAATTGTTCACATATATTGTGTTTTTTTAATTCTATGGAAATATTTTTCTGAAAGTCAGTATGTGTGCATGCATCCTCAAACTGAAATCGTGGTCAAAGTTATCTACTGACGATTTTGTCTATTGATTCATAAACATGATACTCATGATTTTTTTTATCGATCTCACAATTGTCAAGTGTGCTCCTCCTGTGGCTATTTTCAATCGATAAGGATGACATTGAACTGAATATTCTCTTCAATACAAAACTAATTAACAATTTGAATTTAAAAAATTCAAAAACAGTATATTTCAATTAAAAAAAATTGAAAGATTCGGTGTAAATTGAAATGATATATATATTTTCAAACGTTGTTATTAAATTTGATACAAATAAGTTTATGTTTGATAAATTTTGACGAAGTTTGACTTCATGAAATGTCTGAATAAGTTTGAAATTCTTGCACAATTTAAATTAATAACAACAAAGTATCTGACGATAGATTTACACATAGTTTTGTTGTATCCATGTTAAGGTTTAAAATTAATGTTCGTATGTTGTTGAATATAGCCGACTGTAATTTAATTCTTATTTAGTTAGTTAATTAATGGATAATTATTAATTTTACTTTCTACTTTTTGTTGACTTTTTTTCCTATTGAACTGTCGCATTAACAGGAACGATAAAGTGAACATCGGAATTTACTATATAACTCTATGCATTAACAATATATAATGTAATTTCACTTCACTTTTTGAATGAATTCTTTAACTGAGCGTATATATGAAATCTCCAATTTTTACCACATCGGGCGCTCTCTCTAAATCTTGACAAAGTTTCTAAAAAGCTATACCCTTTTCATTAGTGCTTGTTAATAAAATAATCTTTCACCATAAAGACCTCCTTACACAACTTTTTGGGCAGCTGTTGCAACTCTACGTCCTTTCTCGTACTATTGATATTATTCCCTACCCGACTGCTGAATTCCCCTTTAAAAAAGAAGAGGCGAGTTTCATAAAATCTTAAGACTCATAATAACTCCATACACAAACATATTTCTTAACATAAAAAGCAATTAATTGTGCTACACGTAAGAACTACAAACACACAATTTTGCATTTCTCAATAAATACAAACTACTAAACTCTCCGATGTGATCAATTTATGCAACTGTACAATGATATTTTTGGCAAATCCTGAAGAAACTCTATAAATATATCCAACATACCCAAGAATAATCTGCAAGAATAATCTGCATGTGAACAGACAACCAAAATAAATTAAGGCCTTATTAGTCT